TCTGAAGAGAAGAAAAAAAGAGACGAAAGAAAAAAGGACGCTTCGTGAAGGGGTTTGTCTTGATGATGGTGTTGCCTTGTTTGTTTGTTTTTTCTTCTCCGTAGGATCTGCCTGTGTGTGTGTTATGGCGGGGCTGCTCGTGGGGTGCTGACCTCCATGATGAGGTGGTTAACTCTGCGGCTTTTGCCTTCCCGCAGCCACCTTTTATTTATCCCTTCCTGAATTTGTTTGAGAAATGGGACCGTGGGAAAGCGGTGCAGGAGGTTATATACGTATATATATATATATATATATATAATATATATGGATCTAAAAGAGTGTTGGTTTACCTTGTGAATACGTGCGGGCACTTGTGTGACGCGTTCATTCGCGCCTTCTCTCTCCTGACTACTCATGTGCCCACAGCTGCGTTGCAAGCACACCGGCAAGGTTCTCTTGAACAGACGAGGGGGGAGGTGGTGAGTTGGGAGGAGTAAAGAGGGAAGATAGGGGGTAAGGTATTCCATGGAACAGCATGGGTTGGCGTCCTCCATCCTGCAGCCTCTGGCTCTTGAACCCAATACCACGACATCTACCGCCTCGGTGGCGCGCCAGAAGCGAGCGCGGGACTCGTATCTTTACGACCGCAATGGGAAACGCTTGAAGGGCTTAAAAGGTGAGGCAGCGAAGCTCATGCACAATCATCGGTTTTTTAGCAGCGAGGAGGAAATTCACCACCTTGAGCAGACGCTCGCGGTAGGCCAACGCTCCATGGAGCCGCTGGTGGATAGCAGTGGCGTCTGGGATGGCGGCGCAGGCATACAAAAACTACCTGCGTTACCCGATATGTTTGGTGTTGTGCCGCCCACTGCGGCAACGGGAGGAGGAACGGCGGACGCGGCAAATGGTGAAGACGTGGCCCCTGGTGCGGTGGTCCCAGCCATGCATCGGTGGTCACTTGTGCGGCGGCGCCTTGCCACCGTGGGGCTGCAGTCAGGGGGCATGGCAGGTTCTTGTGCTGCTTCGTCACCGAGGTTGCCACGGGTGAGCAACTCTGGTTATCGCTGGGAGCGAGCAGATTCGCTACTCGTAGAGAATGCCCTTATGTCTGCTGCGCTAGCAGAAAAGGAGGAGGACGGGGAAAATGATGGTAACGGCGGCTGTGGTGGTGATTGTAGTTGTAGGCGCGGGGATCTTCCAGGTTCGTGGTTGGCGGCGCAGCACCTCTCCGTTCCTCCCGAGGTGGAGCTCACCGTCCTTCACACCTCGGCCGAACCTTCTCCCTGTGCATTTTTTACCGTCTCCGCGGAGGAGTACGCGGTGATGGGACTGGACAATGATGAGTATCAACCAACTCTGCTCTCACATGAGGGCAAGGACTCCGATGCGGTGCATTGGAGGTTTGACTTTTCGTCCACGTGCAGGCTTCTGTCGCTGTACGAACGGTTTGGCAACTTTGTTGTGGTTGCCGACCGGTGGCGGTACACCGATGCCCGTGACGTTGTGGCGGCACCCGCATCGCCGTCTGGGTTCAGGGCGGCCGCCACGGACACAACCGAAGCTGGCCCTCCCGTAGAGGTATTGATGGAACGATACAGACTCGTCTCAGAGGCAGTGTTGCGCCACCGGCTGCATCTCCTGCAGGAGACCCTGAAGGAAGAGGAGGATAGGAAGGACGGAGAGGACGCGGTCCGATCATCCCCCAGCAGGTTGAAACTCTCCCAGCGTGTAGTGAGTGTGAAGCCAACAGAAGAGCGCGCCCCGACGTCAATCCACCCACTCACTTCGCTGATGGAGAAGCACCCGGTGCTGGTGGCACAGCGGCGGCGGCAGGAGTGGCTCGCGCAAAGGTATCAGGAGCTCTGTGAGAGCAACGGCACAGAGTCCGCGCCTCAGGAAGCGGAGACCGGGGAAACGAGGATGCTTGCCAGGCACAGAGCTGAGGTGCTGCAACAATGTATGGAGTCGTTTGCCACGTCTTCTGCGTTGCCTCTAGCATCACAACAGCAGCTCAGTCAGGCTGCGTGTAAGAGGAACGGCGATGGGGCTGATGTGTCACTGTTGCTGATGTCGTCCCCACCGCCTCCAGCATCGCCCTTCTGGTACGATGGCCTGCTAGAGCAGTTGCGACGCAGGCGACTACGTGAGTTTCTCACGCACGAGGCAACGATGAATGTGCCCTACTTTAGGGCGCTTATGGCGGAACAGCGTGTGTCTAGCCAAGCAACGGTATTGTTTGACAAGTTACGGGTGCTGACGAATGAAACTGCGACTGATGTTCAACAGGACGAGCAAATCTGTCCTGTAGATGTTGGGAAATTTGTGGGTAGGCGGGCTCCACGTAGCAGACGACAAGGGGTGGGGAAGGCTCGCAACCAGCCACAGCAGCAACAGTCAGCGTTAGATGGCATGGGGGAGGACAGTTACCAGGGCGTGCAGGTGGAGGTCTCACGCGTTCCGCTGCAATGTGAACGATTACGGCTGTGCGTGCAGGCGGGATGGTTTCTTCCACCTCCTGACGTTGGAGCCAACGGTAAACCGACTGGCGGTGGCAGCACGGTGGCGAATCGGGCGCTCAGCAATTTTGGGGAGGCGCTGTTGCTGAGTTTGCCGCCCACTGTACCGCGTCTTCATTTGGGGGTGGAGCTTGAACTAGAAAAGCACCTATGGGAGGATCACCGGGCTTTGTGTGATGACAATGCGGATGTGCAGCAGCTACTGTGTGAGGCACGCGTGCTGTACACGCAGAACGTTATTCTGCGTCGCTTTGCGGGGAAGTGTGGTGTGTTGGAGGCGGCACTTAGGAAATTGGCGAGCGAGGCTGCTACCGAGATGTAATTCAAAGAAAAAAAAGGGGGAGAGGAGGAAAAAAGGCGTATTCCTCTTCTTTTTTTTTTTTTTTGGTCTTGTGGATTTGTGTTGTTCTCTCGCTCCTGCATTTGCATCTGCCTCCTGCCCCGCGTTTAAATGGTGGGTGGGACACTTTGATTTGATTGGAGGGTCTGCCGCCTCTCTTGATTTCTCTCCTCCTCCTCCTCCTCCTCTCTACGCATTGGTGCGTACATATATATGTATGTGTGTGTGTGTCCCTGCGGCTGTGGGTCGCCGTGCGTAGTGCTTTTTCCCCCTTCTTCGCTTGGCCTCTGCGTGGTAGGAGGTATGGAGTGAGCCCCGTGACAAAGCTTATTTTTTGCGTCTCTGTCGCCACTTAGACATTCTTCTTGCGTGGGGGGCGCATTTCAAAGAAAGATTTGTAGCATTTAAGACTCTCCAGTTACAAGTGGCACACAACGCGGGCAGGCGTGTACACTTCGCAACGCGCATGTCCCACGTTGCCCTCCAGCTCCGGTGCACGGGGCCAGCAGGAGTGCGGCCGCGTGTTGGTGGACGTACCGCGGCAAGACGGGTAGGTTGTTTTTTATCGACGCTCCATGTCGCTTTGTGTGCCGCCGCACGGACACTCAGCAGCAGCAGCAGCAGTAGTACTAGTAGTGGTGGTGGTGGTGGTGATAGCAGCAGCAGCACTGCTACTCTTTACGCCTCAGAAAACGCGTTGAGAGGGATGGGCCTACGGCTGACGCCGCTGGAAATGTTTTTTAGGCTGGTTTCGCCATCTATCACCACGGCCCCGTGCGTGACAAAAATCTCCGCATTGTACGCTAACCTTCCACCCAAACTGGATGAGGCGCTGGATATCAGCGACACCACCATACGAGAAAGTAATTGCAATACACATCGTTGGTTACGAACTCGCTTTGGAACACTTGCAAACGGACTGCGGCAACTGCATGTCACAAACAGGGTGAGTCATTGGGGCGTATACGTTTCTGATGATGGGGTTTACGTTGTGAAGGCCTGCAGTGCTGAGGAGGCTGAGGAAGCCTTCTCTGCCACGCGTGACGTCAAGCTGTATTCTAGCGTGTGTGAATCAGAGTCACTTCTCGAGGTATTTAAGCCGGTGTTTCCGTCCTTTACGCCGCCCCCACCGCCACCAGAGCCATGTGGGTTGCTAAGTAAGAAGAAAAGAAAAGGTCAGGTCCCGGGTGGCATGTTTACCCCGCAGATGCTCGTGCCGTATGCGCCAACCTTCTTTATACCCATGGAGGAACTACTTGCAGCCCTACCTGAGGGCTACACAGCCGCCCATATTGAGCAAATGTTTGCCGCCACAGGAACGCTGGAGATTGTGACACTGGAGGGTGAAAAATTTGTGCGAATGCATGGTGGAAAGCGTTTGGTGGATTTTACACGTGATGGAGCGGGGGAGGCTGCGCACGAGCGGTGGCGGGACTATCAGCCCGACCCCTTTCTCTGCAAGCCATTTTGCCGGCTGTTTCCTGCATCTTCGCGCTGGGTGTCGCTGCGCCAGCTTATCATGGGGGCTCCCACCCCGCTCGTCCGTGCGTTGTTGCCGTGGGAGCGGTACAAGACTCTCCTTTTCTTTGCGCAAATGCAGCACGTTTTCAGCTTCACGCCGGAAGGCGAGGGTGAGGTGTGCTGGATTGCTCCTGTGACGTGTTTGTCGTACCATGACAGCCCCACGCCGGCGGTTGTGTCGGAGTTGGTGGGCGTGCTCAACGAGCAACGCGTGTGCATCACCGATCTCTTGGCGCAATCCTCCCACCGCATCTCCGACCACGCCAAGGCGCAGATTATCATGTACTACGGAACCCTTTTGAACTTCTTCCGAGCACACGGCGACGTCTTCTGCATTGTGGACGACACGATTGTTGGTGTGGTGTCGCCGCGGGGCAATGCAGAGAAAACACCGCAGACGCTTGAAGACAAGCTGGAGGATGCACTCGTAAGGCGCAATCGCCGCACCGCTCAAAAGATACGCCGTCGCATGGCAATTGAGAGGGACCCGGACAGCCCATACGCTGACCGGGATGTACTGATGGATGCCATTCTCCGCTACGTGCCACAAACGCGCTCCATCTCGCTCAGTTTTCTGCTGAAGTCGCTTCCACCGTCCCTGGCGGACTTCCTCCCCAGTAAGCCGATCTCCATGTTTCAACAGGCGCCAGAAAAAATACGCATATTTGAGTATCGCTACCGCCATCGTCTTCATCTCATTCGCCCTGGTGTGCCGCTGCCGCCCGGTGTTCTGCGCCAACACTACACGGAACCGGAGCTTCTCTTTTTGTGTGCGGTGGAACTTCAGCAGCCTCGCACCGTTGTTGACCTCTACGGTCGTCTTCCCTACGGCGCGAAGGAGGTGATTCGGCTGCAGTACAAAGGCCTCTTGGAACTCCTGCGGCCATACCCGCAGTTCTTCACAGTCATCTTCAAGGATGCCCTGCGCCTCGACACCCGCAACGCGCTGGTCACGCTCATCCAGATGCCTCCAACGGTGGAGCTGAGTGAAGAGGACTACGGTGCCGCAGCACCAGAGGGCCCTGTGCAGCGGCAGCGCCTTGAGGAAGAGGACAAGGAGGCGATGCGGACGCTCCCCGACGAAATCCAGAAGACGATGCGAGTGAGTGACACCGAGTAGCTCTCCACAACCTCCCAGGCAGGGACAGCGAACATTATTATTTTGAGACAACTTTTAAGCGTCACAAACTTCTTTTTTTTTTTTTTTTTGGGGGGGGGGGATTCTCTTTTCGTCCTCCGTTTCCTCCTTTATTGTTTATTGGTGTCGCTGCCGTGTCTGCTCTCACTACTCCGAGCCCATCCCTGTTTTTCTGCCCCCGCTTGCTTTTTGCTGCTCCCTCCTGTGGAACCTCATCAGAGATTTTAAGACAAGCCAAGCGCGCGTATACAGAGAAAAAGGTAATAAAAGAAAATACTAACAGCCCACGCCAAAGACCATGACGGACGTCAAGTACGAGAACGGAAAGCCCACGTTTGAAGCCACCACAGTTGTGAAGTGTTTTAAGGACAACGGCAACGGTCTCCTCTTCCGCCTTGTCAACGACGACAGCAAGCAGTGGGCCTTCTACAATGACACGAAGGATTACAACATGGTGGTGAAGGCTGCCTTCGGCAAGGACAGCAAGGTGGAACCACTGGGCACGACAAAGATGGAAAAGGATGAGGAAACCGGTGAGTTTAAGTGTGAGGTCCACGTCAGTCCCCTTGCGACGGAGCTGTTCGTCGGGGGCGAACCCAACGGCTACAAGCTGAACTTTGAGGCTAACCCTGTTGCCAAGTAGCTCTGGTGATTTGGGCCTGTGTTACCATAGGCACAGAATCGTTTTTGGTGGCTGTCACGATGGTTCACCGTTTTTTTTCTTTTTTTTCCGTTTTGATTTGATTTTATGTTTGTTTGTTACTAGGAATTCTTTGTCCATCCTGTTGGGCGCATCGAGGATTGGGAAAAGACAAACGAGGAAAGGGTTTTCTCTTATAAATGCATTACGGTTCTGACTCATATGTATTTGAAGGTTTCCATATGCCTGTGTCGGGGGGTGTCGGGGCGTTTGCTTGTTGTTATTGGGAACGAATATGTTTAGGATATTATTATTATTACTCTGTTGCTTTTCTTTGTCTGCGTCTGCCCTCGTCTTTGCTCCCTTTTGTTCATCTGGCGTTTGTTTACTACGAGTCTCAGAGGATGGCCGACGATCTGTCGCGGTTGGGGGTAAGTTGGGTGGAGGAGTCGGCTCTACGTGAGGATGTCGTGGCGGCAGTGGACGCCCACGGTGCCGCAGAGGCCGCGGTGGATGAGGCAGAGCTGCGCCGTCGCTGGGAAGCCCTGGAGGAGATGGAGCATGTCGTTGCGGAGCTGCAGTCGTTGGCTGCGAAGCCACTTCAGACTGCCATGCCGTCCAGAGGGGTGGAGATGCTTCCAGGGAATGGAGGTGCGGAAGCAAGGAAGGAGGCGGAAAATGCCGCGGCCGTCCTGCAGTTTCGTTTGGCGAACGCACAGAGAGAGCTGGAGAACCGTGCAAAGCTGCTGCGTCGCTGGCAGGTGGAGATGGAGGGACGGCAGCGCAAACGTCTTGAGGAGGCAAAGCGGCGCAGGCGGCTGTCTGAAGCGGCAGAACGAAACACAACGATGGGTGCCTCAGCTGGCAACATATCTTTGGCTTCTGCTGGTGTCAGCGGCGAGGCACACCATGCAGCGACCACGACGATGACGGCGCCTGCCGCCACGATGCATGTGCCTGTCGTGCAGGTGGCTTCCTCCTTAGCATCCCTCACATCTGCTGCGTCGTCGCTTGCAGCACTGAGCAACAGGAGGCTTGAAGCGACGTCTCCGCTGCGCTCCAGCGGGGTCCCGAAGAATACGGCGACGGCAGTGCAGTCTGGAGCAGCGGCGGAACTGCAACAGTGTCATGACGTTGGCAGTCGTGCGGCGACGGCGTTGACTCTCATGGAGTATGCGGGCGGCGCCATTCTTCCCTCACTTCACCGCGTCACACTAACACGCTCGGATGTGCGGTCAAAGTCTAGGAAGTACACCGATGATGGTGACCTCGATGCGTTCCACACGCGTCAGCTAAAACGAAAGCGGTTGGAGGAAGCTGCTGCAAACATTGCATCCTCACAGGTGAAGCAGATCCCTTCTGACGCGGCGAAGCTGGAGTTGGACGCTAGCGCTGGGTCGATTACTGTAAAGCAGGAAGCCGGAGCGGAGGAACGAAGCGGCGTCACGAGGACCAGCGCGATCGACGTGGATGCACTGATGGAGGAGGAGGATGAGGATGCCGGTGAAGACGTTGTGCGGCAGGTGCTCATGAATGTTAGTGGCGGCCGTGAGGATGGCAGTGATGCCCAATTCGTGAATCGGGGGGGGCAGGAAACACTTGTGTCGCTCATGCCTGGCATCTCTCTCTCAGCTGCCATTTACAACCGTTTGCTGGAGCACCAGAGAGACGGTGTTATCTGGATGCTGCAGCTGCACAACCAAAGGATGGGTGGCATCCTTGGGGATGAAATGGGCCTTGGGAAGACGATACAGGTGGCGGCTATGCTAAACACTCTGAATCATTCCCGGCAGCTGCGTGGTCCATGCTTGATTGTCTCGCCCTTGACGGTGCTGCGGCAGTGGGTGGCGGAAATGCACCGATGGGCCCCATACATCCGGACTTGTGTCATGCATGAAAGTAGTGCCACCACTATGAGTCGTGAGAAACTTGTTGAATCCATCCAGGCGACGCCGGCGGTGCTTCTTACCACGTACACGGCTGTGCGGCAACACTGTCAGCTTCTACACAGGGCAAAGTTTCAGTATGTCATCTTGGATGAGGGGCATAAGATTAGTAACCCGGAGGCCACTGTGACACTTGCAGTAAAATCCTTCCCAACGCCGCATCGTATTATTCTCTCCGGGACACCCATTCAAAACACCCTAAAGGAGCTTTGGTGCCTGTTTGACTTTGTCCGGCCTGGCTTGCTTGGCACCATGACAAAGTTTGTGGAGGAGTTTGAGGAGCCGATTAACGCAAGCAAGGACGTTCGTGCCTCCTCGCTGACGCTGGCAACCGCCGTAGAATGTGCCCAAGCGCTGCGGGAGCGAATCGCACCCTACCTGCTACGTCGCCTGAAGCGACAGGTAATGCATCACGCGTTGCCGCAGAAGTACGAGCGCGTCATACGCTGCCCCTTAAGTGATGAACAGTTGGAGGCGTATGTGGAGTTGCTGACCTCCGCGCGAGTGCAGCGGCTCTTCAGTGGCACCGTGACAAACATGCAGATGATGGGTGGGTTGAATCGCGATGGTCGTGACGCGAGTGGTTGCCTTCACACCGCTGGTAGACGCTTTCAGCTGTTTCAGCGCCAGCATCACAGCGGCATTCGCCTTGAGGCCTTCCGTGTGCTGAATGAGCTGCGTCAGATTTGCAACCACGTGGACATTTTCCGAGTGCGGCAGGTGGCGGTGGCAAATGGCAAGGACTACTTTGATGACGACAACGATGATGACGTGGTGGGCGCGAAGGCAAGGCGGCGACGTGGGACGCACCTGTCACTGCGCAGCAACCGCCCCGTAAACTACGCGGGTAGTGGGAAGCTGCAGACGCTGCGAAAGTTGTTGACAGTCTGGCAGCGTGGGGGTCAGCGGGCGCTAGTTTTCTCACAGACCCGCACGGCGCTTGACATCATTGAGAATATGTGCGAACAGGAGGGGTTCACGTACATCCGCATGGATGGCAGCACAAACGGGCACTATCGACAGGAGCTCATGGACCGCTTCAACGAAGATGATAGCATCGTCGCCGCGCTGCTCACGACGCGCGTTGGCGGCGTTGGGGTCAATTTGGTTGGCGCCAGTCGTGTCGTGGTGTTTGACCCCGACTGGAACCCTGTCACTGACGAACAGGCACGCGAGCGGGCGTGGCGCATCGGTCAGACGCGCGACGTCGGCGTCTACCGCCTCATCGCCAGCGGCACCGTTGAGGAGGCGATTCTCCGCCGGCAGCTTGCCAAGACGTACGTGACGGAGAAGGTGCTGCACAATCCGGCGCTGCAGCGTTTTTTTCACCAGCAGGAGAGCATCACGGAGACGTTTTACCTCGGCGCGGAGTACGACAGCCGTGTGCCGGCGGGGAAGAAACACATCCTCGCGGTGCAGGAGATATCCCCCCTGCTGGAGGCGGACGAGGAGGCTGTGACGGAGCAGGAGAAGAGTGGTGGGGCAGTTGTGAAGCAGGAGAGTGGTGGGGCGCCCGCCGTCTACCGTGTGCGGCCCCCGTCTCCGCAGCCAACGTCGTCTCCCACTGCCGCCGCCGCCGCCCACAAGGCGGAGACAGCGCTTCTGCAGGACCTCGTTGACGGGCGGGAGGTGCGTGTGTCGGGGGGAGACGCGATTGCGCAACACCTCGCACGTCTCTCTGCGGCGCAGACGATGCAGCGCGTGGCAAACACCACTCGCACCATTGCGCAACAGCAGGCCGAGATGCGGGTGAGGGCCTCACGAGAAATAAAGGAGGAAAAAGTGGACTGAAGAAAGATATGTTTTCTTCTTTACTGCTGCCTGTTTGTTTGTGTTCCTCCCCGCTCCCACACCCGCTTGCGTTTTTCTACGTTTTTTTTTTTTGTTGTTGTTGTTGTGTGTGCTTCCCTTTGGTTAAATTATATAATAACATACATGATGTTCACGAGCGTGTGTGCGTGCAGGGGAGAGGGGGTGGGGTGGGGATGTGTGAAGCTGCTTGCAGGTCGAGTTCTTAAACCGTTTCTTTTGCTTGTTGTTGTTGTGTATTTTGTGTTTTGTGGTCTTCGGCCCTTTTTTCCTCAACGAAACAACGAAGAAGTAGAGATATTCTTCTTTACTGCGCGTGTGCGTCTGCGTGGACGCCGTCGCTGCATGCTGCCGCATGAGTGCCTCCCCCGAGTGGCTACCGACCTTGACGAGTGGAGAACACGATGCCGCTGTTTCCCTTTTTTTTTCTTGTTTTTGTCTCTCCATAGTCTTTTCTCTATGCTCGCCACAATGTCGCATGCCACCAACAGGTGTTTAGGGGTGAAGGGAGTGTTTATGTGATCGATGCAAGGGGAATTTCAGAGGAGACGTCTCGCACATGTGTCGCCTTCGAGCTCCTCCTCCCTCTTTCCCTCTCATCGCCTCCACACATGCACACACAAGCCGGCGGAGAAACTAGGAGGGAGGAAAGAAGAAAACACTCCTCTTCCAGTTATTCATCACCGTTACAAGTAGTCACTATTTGTGTTGACTAGCATATGTCCAGCTGTATACGTATTTAGAGGAAGGTGTGGAGCAAGAGAGCAGGACGTTGTTTTACGCGAAGCGGCAAGGACCGTATTCACCACGATATATATATATATATATATATATGTTCTGTCTGTGGCCTCCCGCTCCCTCCATTTGTTTATGCGTCTGCGTGTGAGAGTGAGAGAAAGTGGAGAGGCGCGGAATGAGTGAAAGGGTGGTTGTCGTATACTCATTGCTATGCAAGCCGAAACTCCTTCCCTCAAGCTCTGACTGAGAGTGGACGGACGTGAGAGTCGAACCGCAGGAGGAGGGCTTGTGGGACACCTATTGTGTGTGTGTGTGCGTTGTTTGGTTCACTTGTGGCTGGCCCTCTTTCGTTGGCGGGGGAGTTCACGCGCTGCCGTTGTCCCACCCCACACACAGCCAGACCGACAAGCACGACCAGCGTAGGCGAGGACCGGCGTGGACGCATATAATTTTCTGTATTTTTGTTTTTTTGTGTCTCTCTTTGTGTGTGTATGTATGTGTGTTTTTGTCTACTCCACTCTCTGCCTGGACGCGGGAAGTTTTTCTTTCTTTCTTTCGTTCTTTCCCGCAGTACAGCTTTCGTGTTTGTGTGTAGGGGTGTTCGGTGGCGGCTACAGCGCGGTTTACGATTCGCGTGTGTTGCGCCACGTGGACGATGCCAAGCAGTCAAATTGCCGGCCAACCGCCCGCACAGCCACGGCAGCTTGCAACATCTTCCACCACTGCCACCACCACTAAGAATAGTAATAATGATTCTAACCTCACCACCACCACGACCACAGTGGCGGCCACGATAGTGGCGGAGAATGCCCAGTTATGTTTGCATGCTGCGCTGTCTCGTCCATCTGTCGCGTTATCGGTAGAAATCATGTCGCTGTACCAGCTAATCAACAACAAATACAGCGAGGAACGGCGGCGGCGGCTGCCTGGCCCAAAGTATAACGACGGCTATGATGATAGGCATGGTCACTATATTGCCTTTACTGGCGAGATGATATGGGGACGGTACACGGTGCAGGGGGTACTTGGTCGCGGTAGCTTTGGCACCGTTTTGAAGTGCTTTGATGAGAAGCATCAGGAGCAGGTGGCAGCGAAGGTGATTCGCAATGGGGAATACTTTTACAATCAAGGCCTTATGGAAGTAGATATTGTGGCACGGCTGAACAGCCTTCCTTCCCTTGAGAACCTTGTCGTGCGTCTCGGGAAGGTCTTTGTTTGGAAGGGTCACCTAGTTTTGGTGTTTGAGATGCTGAGCATGAACTTGTTTCAGCTCATTCAACGTACGAATCATAACGGGGTGAGCCTGGACCTCACTAGAAAGTTTGCCTATCAGTTGATATTGGTCTTAAAGCAGTTAGAGGAACACAACCCGCCAATTATTCATTGTGATGTGAAGCCGGAGAACGTAGTGCTGCGGGACCCAAGTCGCAGCTCCATTCGCTTGATTGACTTTGGAAGCGCCTGCTACCTGCACCAGGGAGCAAAACTGTACAAATACGTGCAGTCGAGGTTTTACCGTAGTGTGGAGGTGATCCTGGAGCTTGGCTACGACACCGCCATTGACCGTTGGTCTCTTGGTTGCATGCTGGTGGAGTTGCACACCGGTGTCCCGCTCTTCGCTGGAAAGAACGAGTCTGACCAACTTGCCCGCTTCATTGGGGTGCTTGGACCTTTACCCGATGACATGATTGAACGAAGTGCAAAAAAGGATGCCTTTTTTTTGGATTCCCGGCAGTCACAGCAGGGAACATGTGTGCAGCACTCTGCAGGGACGGAGCGAAGTGCTGCCATGACAGGGTCAACCCAGCAACGGGAACACGCCGCCTCCCCGTCTCCGGTCATTGCGGCCGAGGTGCTTCATAGCTTGTCCGTGACGTCGTCGATCTCTGTTGTCACCACTGCCTCTACGGTCCCGGTGTGGTCCTGCGCTGATCACGCGGATGTCGCCACCACAACAATGGGAGCTCCACAACTGCAACAACAGCAACTATTTGGAGCAGAAGCCGTGCGAGCAGCCACGACAACGACAGCTTCTGCGGCGGCGGAGGGACGGCAGGTGTCTAGAACCACCCCATTATCCGCACGCGGTGGCAATACCTGTGGCACTGGCGCGAACAACAACAATAGTAACAGCAATACAATGGCCGTGCCTGTGTTGCGTCGCCCACGAACGACTCTTGCGATGTCGTCTAACGCCAAGAAGGATGATGTGGGATGCACAACAATGACAGCGGGAGGGACGCTCACGCCCACGGCAACGCGAAGGTGCAAGCATACCACACCTAAGAATCCACCGCAGCAGAAGACGCTTCATAGCGCTAGTATCTCGTCTACCACAGTCCCGATGGCAACATTGCCGACGCGGCCTGCATTGGCGGGGCGGCCTTCTACTATCATGCCAAGGCCTCGATTGACCTCAACAAGTCATGCGCCGGTGCACAACGAGGGGGCTTTGCCCCCCTCTACAGGGGGGAGTCGTACGGGGGTGCAGCAGACGGTAGTGACGGCAGAGCTACAGCAAAAACAGCAACAGCAAACAAGTGCGGCACCGCCGAAGAGCCCGTTTGTTCTCCGCTGTCCGCCTGCCCCCGAGCAGTGTCAAAGTCTCGAGGAAATCATTGGGGTGTACTCGGGTGGACCGCGCGGTTGCCGTCAGGGGCAGGCGGGACATGGTGTAGATGACTACAAGGTGTTTTTGGATTTTGTCCGGCGTTTGCTTTTGTACGACCCACGGAAGCGCATGAGTTGTACGGAGGCCTTACAACATCCCTTCCTTTCAGAGTTGGAGATGCAGAAGCAGTGGAGGTACTTGGGTGGGCGGGCACCGTAGGGAGAATGTTGTGAGCGCCTTGTGTTTGTATTTTTCTCTGAGTGGTGTGGGACTTGGGCTTTGTTTTTTGTATGTATGTGTGTATGCGTGTGTTTTTTGCTTAGTTGGTTGCTGTTACCGTTGTCACTGCGTTGGGCTTCTCCCCGGGGCGGGTGGAGAGTGTTAATGCGGCAGCGCCGCAGCAGGACACAAAGAGGGAGGAAATGGGAAGGAGTTTTTGTCGTGTAAGATGTGTGGTGGTTGTGCCGTATTTGCTTTGCTGGCGTGCGTTGGAGGGCTGGGGCTGTGTGGCATGGACCCCATTAGCATATATATATATATATTCTGTCCTCATCTCTTTTTCCCCGAGTGGGATGGAACGAGGAGGCAAAGAAAAAAAAGAAAAAAGAGGGGACAAAATTTTTTTCCCTACGTTTTTTTTTTTTATTGGTTGTTCTGTTCTGTTCTTCTTTGCTCGCACATATTTTTGCTCTTGTGGCGTGTGGAGCGCGTGCACGTTGGGGATGCTGCAAGAATAATTTTGTAACACTTCCATGCAAACGTGTGCATCAACTTCCTCAGCGGCTACTTACACCACCTGCTGCGTCATCTACTCTGTGTCTATGTGTGCTTATCTACCTCTAGTTGTTCTGGTCCTGCCTCGGCGTGGGCGTGCGTTCCTCTTTTTATTTTTATTTTTTGTTTTGCCCTTCCCCCCACCCAATCCTTAAAAAAAAAAAAGACGAATTCTTCACCATTGGCAGGTGCCTTGCCGGTGCCGCTGCTGAGCATGGACACACACACACATACACACACAATGTTACATCTGCACCACTGTTTCTCGCTTTGTTTCGTATTATTATTTTTTTTGTGTGTGTGACCGTTTGCCCCCTCTCCATTAATTTATTTACTGGCGGGTTCTCAGTGCGGTGTTAAGGTTACAAGGCAGCGTGTTTCATGTCCATTCTTCAGGCCTCGGCTGCGGAGGGCGGCCCCGGCAACAGCTCATTTGACTTTTTGGCATGCGAGGGTAATGAACAGCAGGTGTGGGCGGAGGTGTACCTGCGGGAGTTTCCTGACCTTGAGAAGTTTGGCGCCATGACGATGGAGGAGCAGCGCGAGGTTGTAGCGGGGCTGCAGGAGGAGGTGGACGTGCTGGAGGAGGAGATGCGAGTATTTGTGCGTCAGGCCGACTCTCTTCGCGTAGAGCGCCCCGTGGCTGTTCTTACCACCCCACTCACAAGCATGCGAAAGTCGCTGTCCGCGTTTCTTCTCGCCGAGAATGCCTTGCCGGGGGTGGAGGAGAGCAGCGCGAGTGAGTCTGTGGTTCTGGTGAATGGTGAGGGCGGCGGCGAGGAGGTCGCGGCGCCGCCGAACGTTCGCCGTGGTCAGGCCTACAGCCGCAAGTTGGTGGACACCACTGACGTGTACGTCGCTCTAGAGGACCGCGTGGCGATGTTTACCAAGGAAAGGGATAGGCTGCGGCAGCAGCGGGACCGGGATGAGCGGGAGGGGGAGCACCTCCGCAATTTACTCACGGCGACGGTGAAGGAGGCTGTGGGGCGCTCCAAGGAGCTTCGGCTGGAGCTGCTGCAGCTGCAGCGGGAGGTGCTTAACGAGGGCAGCAGCACCGCCTCCTCGGATGACCTGCTGAGATTTATGGATAAACGCTACGACAGGCAGGCAAAGTATTTGGACAAGTTGAACGTTCAGTGTGCGGCGGCGGAGCGAAAAATCACGCAGACCCAGCTGCAGATACGCCAGCGCCATGCTGCGGGGGAAGCCTTTCATGCGATTGACTTTGAGCAGCTTCGCATAGAGAACCAGCAGTTTAACGAGCGCATAGAGCGGAAGAATTTGGAGTTAGTGGAGTTGAAGGGAACCTCAACCCGCACCGTGCAGACGCTCAACTCACTTATGGACACACTTAACGGACTCACTACCGAGCAGAACCGCCTGCGAAAGGACCTAAAAAGCCGTCGTGAGTATTTGGCACGGCTGCAGCGGGAGATGGTTTCCGTCGCCCATGAGGCGGATGTTGCGGAGCGTAAAAACGCCACCATCAAGGCCCAGCATGAGGCGGTGCGGGTGCCAAAGATCGAGCACTACGTGGCACAAAAGGCTGAGGAGTACGAGCTCAAAAAGGCGCAGCGAAACTGGAAGCGCAAGGTGGAGATTGCCGAGGGGCAGTTATGCCTCATTCAACAGCAAATACGCACGCTGGCGAAGGCGGTAGAGACCCCACGGAGGTGGGTCAAGGAGTTGCGGCGTCAAATGGGAACCCCCCCAAACTCTTTCACAAAGAGTGCGGCACGAGGCGGCGAAGGTGGATCGATGTATACGGATGCGGAGGGAAAGTATGAGGTGCAGGTCAAGCTCGATGCCGCGCCTGTCGTTGGTGGTAGCAAAGCACTTTTGGACATAAAGCGGAAGAGGTGATGCAGTGAAAAAAAAAAAAGAATTGAATTCCATGCACTTCTTTTCGTATCAATGGCACGCTGCCGGGATTTGATGATGTGATGGGGAGTCCTCTCACTGTGATGTACAGTGGCCATTATAGCCTCAGCAAACAGACAGAGAAAAACAAGACAAGAAGCATGCGCATCTGGGGGGTCATTGATGCATTTTCTTTGAAACATCGTTATGCCTATTTTTCTTCTTTATCAGCATCTCTTTTGTTTTTGGCTGGAGAGAAGGTGGTGGTGGCGGGTGTTTTCATCGTCTCTACTGCCGTTATTGATGTGGATGCCTGCTGGTTCATGGTTCTTGTCGTCTGTGCTTGTGAGCTGGCTTGTTTGCGGAGGTGCGGGGGGACAAGAGGTGCCTGGCTGTGCTTGTGTATACCAAATGCTGGTTATCTATGTGTCATTCTCTCTCTCTCTCTCTC